CCGCCTCTCAGGTTCAAGTGATTCTCCTGCCTCAGCCTCCTGAGCAGCTGGGATTACAGGCCCCTGCCACCATGCCCAGCTAATGTTTGTATTTTTAGTAGAGACAGGGTTTTGCCATGTTGGCCAGGCTGGTTTCAAACTCCTGACCTTAAGTGATCCACCTGCCTTGGCTTCCCAAAGTGCTGGGATTATAGGCATGAGCCACCGCGCCTGGCCACGGTTTCAAAAATCTATAAATTTAAGCTGTGCCTCTGGCAAGAAATCTATGTTGATTTTTAGTGAGGGCATTGCTGATTTTCTACAAATACTGGTATTCAAAATTATACTTCTCTCTTGTATAAGATAATAATTTACAGCACAGGTCAGCACATTTTTTCTGTAAAGGGCCAGATAGTAAATACTTGAGGCTTTCTGAACCATGCAATCTCTGTGGCAACTACTCACCTCAGCCTTTGTAGCCAGAAAACAGCCAGAGACAGAATGGAAACACATGGGTATGCTGTGTTCTAATAAAACTTTGTTTGCAAGAACAGCAACAGACTAGAGTTTGCCAACCCCTGATGTAGAGCAGTGGTTCTCAAACAGCAGTGGCCATCACAATGACCAGGATGGCTTGCTAAAACATAGATTGCTGGGTCCTGTCCCTAGAGTTTTGAATTGAATAGATGGGACTTGAGAATTTGCGTTTCCATCAAGTTTCCAGATACTGCTCATGCCCCAATGTAGACCACACTTTGAGACCACACTTAGAGTTATCTACTGAAATATGACTTCATGTTCTTCCAATTCAGGGATCTTATGATCTTAGCATTTATTTTTTTGTGGCTATTGTTTATTAGATGTGTCTTTGAAAAATTAAAAAGAGAAGCTCAATAGCATTTATACCAAACTTTGAATGGAAAGCAAAAGGAGAAATTTCCTATTCAGTAAAAATGCAAGTGAGCTGAGATCCGGCCACTGCACTCCAGCCTGGGCGACAGAGCGAGACTCTGTCTCAAAAAAAAAAAAAAAAAAAAATTCATGATACTCCAAAGCCTAATGCAGAGACAGGCTTGCATAAACAAAAAAAAAAAAAAAAAAAAAAAATGCAGTCAGAATTTTATTTACTGAAGTAAAATCTCACTTAACCAGAGTACCTCAAGAAGGAAGGATTTAGTTAATGTAATTTTCCTGCTAATTAAAATTTAAATCTAGTGTCCCCTTACACTAATTCTAATTGTTAGATATTTTATTTCTTAGTGTCCCCTTACACTAATTCTAATTGTTAGATATTTTATTCCTTAGTAAGCTGAGTAAAGGAAATATAATTGAATCATTGATCATTTAGGATTTTCACTAGGATCATTAGGCAGATCAGTTCTCATGCTGTAATACAATAGAGGCAGGTAGAGCAGGCATGTTTCAATGAGTAGACACTTGGCTTTGACCCTAGGACTTTAGACAGGCACATTCCCTCTGTTTCTGTCTTGTGCACTCTGTCTCTCTCTTAACTAAATCTCTGAAATAAGCTTGCTTTATTCTCCTTCCCCTTTGGTTTTTATTAATGTATTTAATAAAAGTACTATTATTTGAAAATGTCTTTAAGGTAATTTTAAATTAATAAAAATAGTAATGTTGTAGTTCCTAAGGAAAACATTTCTATCTCAATGTATACATTGAAAATAGTTCAGAGAGTCAAGGTTTGAATCTATTGTCCATTTGAGTGGAGCAGTACTTTAATGCAGAGCAATTAGAAGATAACTGGAAATTGGCTGGGTGCGGTGGCTGTAATCCCATCACTTTGGGAGGCAGAGGCGGGCAGATCACCTGAGGTCAGGAGTTTGAGGCCAGCCTGGCCAACATGGCGAAACCCCATCTCTACTAAAAATACAAAAAAATTAGCTGGGTGTGGTGGCGCATGCCTGTAATTCCAGCTACTCACAAGGCTGAGGCACGAGAATTGCTTGAACTCAGTAGGTGGAGGTTGCAGTGAGTTGAGATCACGCTACTGCACTCTAGCCCGGGTGGCAGAGTGACTCCATCTTAAACAAAAAAAGATAACTGGAAATTGGAAATTTAAGAATCTATAAGATCCTTTTCAACTGTGAAAACCAGAGTCTAGGATCAGGTGCCAGCCTCTCTCTTTTTACCTAACAGAATTTATGATTTCCAAGGATTCATGAGATTTTCATTTCTATATCTCCTGAAAGAATAAATGATCTAGTTCAGATTCAGTACCATGGCATTAAGCTAGTATCCACCCCTCAACTAAAAACACACAGAAATTCTGAATAGAATTAGCATTTATTTTCAAGTGGAGTAAATCTAATACTTAAGCTTCTTAAAGTAATATTGAAAATGTCTTAGAATATTTTGATAACTTGTTTTGAATTGTTATGAATGTTAACACTTTAACTATATTTTAGGCTAAGCTTCTGTCACCATCACAGAAAGACATACCCAATCAAAATAACACCGTATCTCCAGAGACTTCTGAAAAAAAATTCCAAGATAGTTTTGCTTTTTTGACTCCTGAAGATTCTGCCCAGAAAACAGGTATATGATTTTCTGTTGACTTACATAGAAAAAAATTTGTATTCGGGAAAGGAAATTTGAAGTAAACAAAACATTTTCATTTTAATATATATTAAAGAAAATATGAAGATAACATTGTTCTTTACCTTAATGTCTCTTATTAGAAAATAACAGAGGATATGATGTTTTAATTTTGCTTTGCCATTTGAGATCAGCTTGTGCCCAAGAATTGCTGATCTCTTCTTTTTTTAAAGAAGCAAGACATCTCAAATTATGACCTGTAGCAGGGGTTGGTAAACATTTTTTGTAAGGTTCCAATAGTAATTATTTTTTGCTTTTTGATCCATATGGTTTCTTTTTCTTGTCTTTTTTTTTTTTTTTTTTTGACATGGAGTCTTGCTCTGTCGCCCAGGCTGGAGTGCAATGGTGTGATCCTAGCTCACTGCAACGTCCGCCTCCCAGGTTCAAGCAATTCTCCTGCCTCAGCCTCCCATACCCAGCTAATTTTTGTATTTTTAGTTGAGATGGAGTTTTGCCATGTTGGCCAGTCCATTCTGGAACTCCTGACCTCAAGTGATCTGCCCACCTTGCCCTCCCAAAGTGCTGGGATTACAGGCATGAGCCACCACAGCTGGCCTTGATCCATATGGTTTCTGTTGTAACTATTCAACTGTGCGGTTGTTGCACAAAATTGGCCGTGGATAAGATGTAAGCCAATGGGCTAGCTGTCTTTCCATAAAACTTTATTTATAAAATGAGGTAGCAGACTGGATTTGGCTTGGGGGCCAGAGTTTGCCCACCCTTAACCTATAGGCTTTTTCTTAACCCTCAATGTATTTTATTTTCGCTGTCTCCTTTTTTAAGTTTGTTAAGAATATGATTTTGTTTGTTAATAACAATATTAATATTGTTTATTATTCTGCAGTTCAGTACATTGCCAGGCATACAATGATATTTAGTAAGTACTTCAATAACAATCTGTTAGTGTAGCTGCCACTGGAAGAAAATAAATAGGGAAAATAAAAAAAAAGAGAGGAAAATGTAACATTCAAGAATAGAAGGGGTCAGGTGCAGTGGCTCCCTCCTGTAATCCCAGCACTTTGGGAGGCTAAGGCAGGTGGATCACCTGAGGTCAGGAGTTCGAGACCAGCCTGACCAATATGGTAAATCTCATCTCTACTGAAAATACAAAAATTAGCCAGATGTGGTGGCAGGCACCTGTAGTCCTAGCTGCTTGGGAGGCTGAGAGGAGAATTGCTTGAACTGGGTGGTGGAGGTTGCAGTGAGCTGAGATTGTGCCACTGCACTCCAGCCTGGGTGACAGAGTGAGACTCTATCTCACAAAGAAAAAAAAAAAAAAAGAAAAACAGAATAAAGGAAAGGAAGAGAGCAAGAGAGGGAAGAAAGGAACAAAGTTACTACCAAAAAGTAACAATCAACAAGATGGCAATACTAAGTTCTTACCTACCAATAATTACTTTAAATGGATTAAATTCTCCAATCGAAAGACACAGAGTGATTGAATGGATAGAAAAAAAGGAGATTCAGCAATATGCTGTTTACAGGGGACTCACTTTACCTTAAGGACAGGTATAAACTGAAAGTGAAGGGTTGGAAAAAGATATTCCATGCAAATGGCAATCAAAAGAGAGCAGGGATGTGGCTACACCTACATCAGGCAAAATAGACTTTCTGTCAAAATTTGTCACAAGAGACAAAGACTAGATGATGATAAAAGGGTTAATTCATCAACAGGAAATAGCAATTGTAAATATATATATGAACCCAACATTACAGCACCTAAATATATAAAGCAAATATTAACAGAACTGAAGAGAGAAATAGCAATACAATAACAGAGTTCTTTAATTTCCCCACCTTCAACAGTCCATAGATTATCCAAATAGAAAATCAGTAAGAAAACAGTGGACTTGAATAATACAGTAGACCAGATGAATCTAACTAACATATACAGAACATTCCATCTCACAGTGGAACACATACTCTTCTGCAGTGCACAGTGCACATGGGACATTCTACAGAATTGATCATATGTTGGGCCACAAAATACATCTTAACAAATTTGAAAAGACTGAAATAATCTTAGAGATCTTTTCTGATCACAGCAGTATGAAACTAGAAATAATAACAGGAGGAAGATTGGAAAATTCAAAATACATGGAAATTAAACAACACACTCCTGAATAACCAATGGATCAAAGAAATTAAAAGGGAAATTTAAAAATCTTGAGATAAATGAAAATGGAAACATACCAAAATTTACGGGATGCAGCAAGAGCAGTGTTAAAAGGTAAGTTTATAGCAATAAATACCTACATTAAGAAAAAAGAAAAATCTCAAATAACTTCACCCCTCAAGAAACTGAAAAAAGAAGAAACTAAACCCAAAGTCAGCTTAACGAAGAAAATAACAAATATTAAAGCATAAATAAATGAAATAGATACTAGAAAAGACAATAGAAACGATCAATGAAACTAAGAATTTGTATTTGGAAAGAGTGAAATTGACAGACCTTTAGCTAGAGAAAAAGAGAAAGGACTCAAAAGAAAAAAACATTATATATGAAAAAGGAGACATTACAACGGATACCGCAGAACTACAAAGGATCATAAGCAATTACAACAAACAAATTATACACCAACAAATTGGATAACCTAAAAGAAATGGATGAATTTCTAGAAACGTGACCTACCAAGACTGAATATGAAGAAATAGAAAAGCTGAAGAGACCCAGAATGAGTAAAGGGATCAAATCAGTAATCAAACCTCCCAACAGAGAGTAGCCCAGGGCCAGACGGTGTCATTGGTGAACTCTACCAAGTATTTAAAGAAAAATTAACACTAATCCTTTTCAAAGTCTTCTGAAAAACTGAGGTGGAGAGAACACTTCCAAACCCATTTTATGAGGCCATCTTTACCCTCTTGTCAAAGCCAGAAAAGAATGCTACAAGAAAAGAAAATTACAGACCAATGTCCCTGATGAACATATATGTAAAAACCTTTGAAAATACTAACAAAACTTACTAAATAGCACATTAAAAGGACTATATACCATGATAAAGTAGGATTTATCCCTGAGATTCAAGGAAGGTTCCACATACACAAATCAATAAATATGATAAACCACATTAACAGAATGAAGGTTAAATTCCTAGAATCATCTCAATAGATGCAAAAAAGCATTTGACAAAATTTAACATCCTTTCGTAATAACTCTCAATAAATTAGGTACATATGGAATGTACCTCAATATATGACAAGCCTATAGCCAGCATTCCACTCACTGGTGAAAAGCTGAAAGCTTTTCCTCTGAGATCAGGAATAAGACAAAGGTGCCTACTCTTGCCACTTCTGTTTAACATAGTACTGGAAGTCCTACCCAGTTCTATCCAGGCAAGGAAAAGAAATAAAAGACATCAAAATTAGAAGATGTTAAATTGTTTTTGTTTAAAGATGACATGATTTTACATATATCAAACCCTAAAGGCTTTACCAAAAAACTGTTAGAACTAATAAATGAATTCAGTAAAATTGCAGGATACAAAATCAACATACACAAATCAGTTGTGGAGTTTGCTTCTGGGTTTCAACAAAACGACAACAAAACAAAAATGAGTTGCATTTCTAGACACTAACAATAAACTAAGAAAGAAATCAAGAAAATCTCGGCCAGGTGTGGTGGCTCACGCCTGTAATCCCAGTACTTTGGGACGCTGAGGCAGGCAGATCATGAGATCAGGAGATCAAGACCATCCCAGCTAACACAGTGAAACCCCATCTCTACTAAAAATACAAAAAATTAGCCGAGTGTGGTGGCACACTGTTGTAGTCCCAGCTACTCAGGAGGCTGAGGCAGGAGAATCGCTTGAACCCGGGAGGCACAGGTTGCAGTGAGCTGAGATCATGCCACGGCACCTCAGCCTGGGTGACACAGTGAGACTCCATCTCAAAAAAAAGAAAAAAGAAAAAATCTCACTTATAATAGCTTACAAAAAACACAAAAATAACCAAGGAGATGAAAGATCATAATCTGAAAACTATAAGACATTGATGAAATTAATTGAAGACATAAATGGAAGAATATCCTATGCACATGGATTGGAAGAATTAATATTGTTAAAATGTCCCCATTATCCAAAGCAATACACAGATTCAATTCAATTGCTATCAAATTTCTACTGGCATTTTTCACAGAAATAGAAAAAACTATCCTAAAATTTATATGGAACCACAAAAGACCCTAAATAACCAAAGCAATGTTGAGAAAGAGGAATACAGCTGGAGGCATCACACTTTTTTATTTCAAAGTGTATTTAAAAACTATAGTAATCAAAACAGTATAGTACTGCCATAGAGACAGGCACATAAGGCCAAGATAACATTATCAGCCCAGACATAAACCTATACATATATATAGCCACTTAATTTATGAAAAGGGCACCAAGAATACACCATGTGGAAAGGAAAGCCTCTTCAATAAATGTGTTGGGAAAACTGGTTATCCACATACTAAACAATGAAATTGGACCCCTCTCTTACACCATATACAAAAATCAACTCAAAATAGATTAAGACTTTAAGATCTAAAACTGTACAACTACTAGACAAAAATAGGGAAACAGCTCTTTGACATTGGTCTCAGCAATGATTTTTTGCATACAACCCTAATAGCACAATAAACTTTTGGGACTATGTCATACTAAAAATCTTGTGCACAGCAAAGAAAGCAATCAATCAAATGGGAAGACAGCCTAAAGAATGGGAGAAAATATTTGCAAATCATATATCTGATAATAGGTTAGGGGTTAATATTCAAAATAACTTCCACAACTCAAAAGCAAGAAAACACATAACCTAATTAAAAATGGGTAAAGAAGCTGGATAGACATTTTTCCAGAAAAGATGCGCAAATAGCTAATGGTGGGTATATGTACTCAACATCACTGATCATTAGAGAAATGCAAATCAAAACCATAATGTGATATCTCACACCTGTCCAGATAGCTATTATCAAAAACACAAGAGATAACAAGTGTTGGCAACGGTATGGAGAGAAGGGAACAATTGTACGTTGTTGGTGGGAATGTAAATTGATGCAACCATTGTGGAAAACAGTATGGAGTTTTCTCAAAAAAATTAGAATTGTATAGAATCCTTCAATCCCACTTCCATGTATATATACAAAGGAGATAAAATCAGCATCTTGAAGAGATATCTGCACTTCCATGTTTATTGCAGCATTATTCACAATAGCCAGGATGTGGAATCAGCCTAAGTATCAGTCAGTGGATGAGTGAATATAGAAAATGGGGTATATATAAACAATGGAATACTATTCAGCCTTAAGAAGGAAATCAGGCCATATGCAACAACATGGATAAACCTGGAGGTCATTATGTTAAGTGAAATAAGCTAGTCACTAAAGGACAAATACTATATAATCTCACATATACATGGAATGTAAAAAAGTCAAACCCATAGAAACAGAGTAGAACAGTGGTTGCCAGGTGCTAGGAGGTGGGGGGAAAGAGGAGATGGTCCTCGAAGGATATAAACTTTCAGGCATAACATGAACAAGTTCTGGGATCTACAGCACAGGCAGTGATGGATGTGTTCATTGATTTGAAAGTGATCATCATTACACCATGTATATGTATATCAAATCATCAAAAAAGAGTAAGAGGCAATAAGGGAGGGGATTCTAAGGGAGAGAAGAGAAGAATCACAAGATAGAGGTGGAAGAATCCCTGCCCATGTTATTGGAGGCCAGATGGGTGCCGATCTAGTTGAAGTAACTGGCTGTTAATCTTACCTACAGATGTACAAACCTAATAAGAATTCATGTCCCGAAAGATACAGTCAGTAGATTTTTGTTTCACTTAGAACTGTGTCCCTTTTTTTGATGATGAGATTTAATATCTAGAATGATAGTGAATTCTTATTGCTTTGTTACTTGGCACGTATTCACTTGAAACTTCTCTCTAATGCTCAGAGCTTCAAGGTCCTCACTCGCTGAGCAAGCTCTCTTCCTTGGAGCACCCAGATGAAGAAAACATATCTAAGGTACTATTTAATTGTTGGTTATTCATCTGATTTTCCAGAATTAATGTCATATTTGCATAACACATTGGCTATTCCTTTTGACGGGGTAATATAACACCACCTGTTTCCTGCTTTGCCAGAAAGGACATATATTTGTGGTCTGTTTTGTTTTTAAGATTGTGAACCAAGAATCGCTAATGGAAAGTACTAGCTTGAAACATAAGCTGCAAAACTTGGAAGACAGAGGTGAGAGAATAGTTCTTTTTTTTTTTTTTTTTTTTTTTTTTGGCAGAATAAAATGAAATTAATCTGATCTTGGCAGACTGGGCTGTTACTCAGATTGCAGATCAAGTCACTTTGCACAGTGACTTTTGCCAGGCCGTGGAGGGAGGAGTGTGAGCTGCTTACTAGTTCTAAATGTTCATGAAGGTTAGGAGGAAAAATGGGGGGCTCCATTCAGGAACCAGGACCTCTTGTGCCAAGGAAGGTATAGCCTGGGACCTGAATCCCACCAGCCAGTCACACCTTCTCTCCAGCCTCAGAGCAGGGCACAGTGCGGGTACTTTCCTAAGGATCTCATCCAGAGCTTATTTCATTCTCAAGCATGTAGTTGCAGTTTATAAGAAATGTTCTAAAACATTGTGTGGTGAAATTATTAAAACGTCTGAGTTCATTTACTCATGTTAAGAGTGGTATCAAGATTCCCAGCCTGGTCCACAATGATGTATATAATACAATGTAATGATATAATACTTTTCTACTGTTTATGATGTTTCTTGACTGCATTTTTTCTCTACTTTTAAAAATTACATATAGAAAGGATTCAACTGGTTATAAATATGTGTAGGATATTTAGAAAATTAATGCAACAAATACCTGCAAGCCATCATCCAGTTTTAGAAATATAACATTACTATTGCTTTCAAAATCCTGGTATGCTTTACCTGAAACCCATCCCACCCCCTCCCCTTAATTTTATGTCTGAATCTCTGCTTTTTTGTTCATTTGTGCGTTGGGGGAATTCCATACATTCAGAAGAGATAGATGTGTACAGTTTAAAGAATGACTATAAAGAGAACATCTGTGTAACCACAGCTCAAACTGGGAACTAGAAAATTGCCATTGGCTTACAATCCTTCCATACCAGATTATTACTTATTAATTTCTTTCACCCCTTATAGAGGTAATGACTTAGGACTTTTGTAAAAACCCTTCAGTTACTTCTCTTTATACTTTTGCTTTCTCCGTATATATCCCTAAATAATATACAGTTTAGTTTTATCTGATTTTAAATGTAAACAAATGACATTATACTGTATATATTATATATGGCTTCTTTTGCTCAGTCATTTGTGAGATCCATTCATGCTAATATGTGTAAGTGAAGTATATTTCTTTAGCATTCAGTTACATGAAAATACCACATTTAAAAATCCATTCCAGCGCTGTGGGATATTTGGATTTTTGCAGTTTGGGTTGTTAGAAATAATGCCACTATGAAGAATCATGCACATTTCTCCTGACACACATGTTAAAAATCTTGTCTAGGTACATTTTTAGGAGTATAATTGCTGGGTTACAGAATATGCCTACCTTTAACAATTTTACATATGCCAAACTTTCTCAAAGTGACTGTATCTGTTACTTTTCCACTGGCTGTGTATGAGAGCCCTGTTGCTTCACATCCTCACCAACACTTGGTATTTTAAATTTCTGATGTGTGTGTGTGTGGACACTGAAGTTTTAATTCAAATATCCCTGATTGAAGTTTAGCATAGTTTTATGTGTTTATTAGCCATTTTAATTTCCTCTTTTGTGTAGTGTCTAACATGTCTTGCCTAGTTGTCTATAGAATTATCTTCTTATATTGATTCCTAGGAATTCTTTGTAATACATTCTGGACAGTCGTCCTTGATTATGTGGCTTGTAAATGTCTTCTTCCACTGTGTGGTCTGTACTTCTCTCTCTGTATAATGTGTTTAAGATTGCTTTTTTAATAAACCAAAACTTTTAATTTTAATAAATTCTATTTCATCAATCTTTTCTCTGTGGTTAGTCATATGAAATTCTTACCAAAAACATATGATCATATATTATTTCCTATATTACTATATTTAATGCTATTCATTTCTCTCTAAGTACTGCTTTAGGTGAATCTCACACATTATAATATATAATATTTGTCATTATTTATTTTAAAATATTATTTTTTAATTTTTTAATTTTTTATTTTATTTTATTTTGAGATGGAGTCTCGCTCTGTCACCCAGGCTGGAGTGCAGTGGCGTGATCTTGGCTCATTGCAACCTCCATCTCCCGGGTTCAAGCAATTCTCCTGCTTCAGCCTCCCGAGTAGCTGGGATTACAGGCATGTGCCACCATGACTGACTAATTTTGTATTTTTAATAGAGGCGGGGTTTCGCCATGTTGGCCGGGCTGGTCTTGAACTCCTGACCTCAGGTAATGTGCCTGCCTTGGACTCCCAAAGTGCTGAGATTTCAGGCATGAGCCACCATGCCCAGCCTAAAATATTATTATTTTTTTATTTCTTTATTGACCCAGATGTTGCTTAGAAATATATTTGTTAATTCTTAGTGGTATAGGAGTTCTTAGCTATCTTTTGGTTGTTGTTTTCTAGTTTGATTACATTGTGACTAGGGAACATAGTCTGTATGATTATGCCTTTTGAAATTTTGAGATGTACTTCACGGCTTAGTATATGCCAATTTTTAAAAATATTAATTTGTGGTTAAAAGAGTATATTTCACAATCGTTGGGTACAGTGTCTCTCTATATATGTATATTCATTAGGTTACTTTTCTTAACTATGTTCTTCAAATCTTATATTCTTACTATTTTTTAAGTAGTCTACTTATTATATCAAGTGCTGAGAGAAGTGGATTAAAACCTTTCATTGTGATTGCAGATTTGCCAGTTTTTTCTTCTGGTTCTGTTCAATTTTTGCTTCCTACAAATCTTTTTTCTAAAGAATAAGTCTTTAGGCCAGGCGTGGTGGCTCATACCTGTAATCCCAGCACTTTGGGAGGCTGAGGCGGGTGGATCACTTGAGGTCAGGAGTTCAAGACCAGCCTGACCAACATGATGAAACCCTGTCTCTACTAAAAATACAAAAATTAGCTAGGTGTGGTGGTGCATGCCTGTAATCCCAGCTACTCGTGAGGCTGAGGCGAGAGAATCACTTGAACCCAGGAGGTGGAGGTTGCGGTCAGCCAAGGTCGTGCCATGGCACTCCAGTCTGGGCGACAGAGTGAGACTCCATCTCAAAAAAACAAACAAACAAGAAAAGAATAAGTCTTTAGATAAAAGTAAAATAGTTACCTTATTATGTATTTACCTTATGGCATATTAAAACTCTTATCATTATGAAGTGATGACCCCTATATCTGGTCATGTTTTTGCCTTAAAGTCTGTTTATTTTGTTTAGAATTTGCATGGTATAATTTCTAAAAGTCGTCTTATGATTGACGTATGTGTATGTGTTTCCTAATGTTATATATTGTTATATATATAACTTGTAAACAGCCTGTAGTTGGACTTCCTTGCCCCTCATTTCATAGTATGTCTTTTAACTGGAGTATTTAGTCCATTTATATTTCATGTACTTCCCCGCATATTCGGATTATATCTACTAATTTGTTTTGTACTTTCTGTGTGCCCCAACCATTTTGTTTTCTTTTTCTCATTCTTTTCGTTTTGCATAAGTATTTTTATTGTATTTTTACCTCTACTCATTTGTAGTTATATACTCTCTTTCTTTTTTCATTTACTGATTAACTTAGAAACCATAACGTATAAATTTCTAAGTCTAAATTTAATTTAGTGTTAATCTAGTATGACTTTTACATAATGTGTAAATTTCTAAGCCTAAATTTAATTTACTGTTACTTTTTCTCGAGAGTATATAGATCTAAGATCCTTGAATTCCATTGGCCTACCCCAACCACATAATGTGTTGGTGTTCTTTATTTTAAAACTTGAGGTTGAATTTTTGCTTTATGAAAATGCCCATTCAACCCTTATTCTTGAATTTTGCTGGGTGAAGAATACCATGTTGGCAAAACTTTTTCTATTATACATCAAATAAATTATTCAGTTGTTTTTTGTTTTCTATTCTTCCTGATGAAAATTTAGCTGTCAATCTACCAGTCACTCTTCAAAGGTAATTTGTCCTTTTTTTTCCTTCCTTCTGAATATATGTAAGATTTTTTCCATTTATCCTTGGTAATATTCCACTTATTAAAATTTGTCTAAGTAAGTCTAAATACGTCTAGGTAAGAAAAAACGTTTTTGTTTATGTTCTTTGGCATTTGTAGGGAATCTGGAATATCACATGTCTTTCATCAGTTCTGGAAAATTCTCAGTCATTATCTCCTTAAGTATTGCTTTTGGCTCATTCTTCTTTCTCCTGCTTGAACTCCAACTAGATTCTACATCTTTTAGCCACTCCTACATATTTTCTATTCCTTCACTTTATTTGCATGCTGGATAATTTCATCTGTTTTTCACAACTACCTGTTCACCAGTATCTAATACTGGACCTATCATTGAATGTTTATTATATTTTTTTATTTCTACAAGTTGTTTGGTCCTTTCTAGAGCTGCTAGGTCCTTTTGTGTAGTTCCTATTCCCTGAAGACTTTTTTTTAAAATTTTTTTTTTGAGATGGAGTCTCGCTCTGTCACCCAGGCTGGAGTGCAGTGGCGCGATCTCAGCTCACTGCAAGCTCCGCCTCCTGGGTTCACGCCATTCTCCTGCCTCAGCCTCCCGAGTAGCTGGAACTACAGGCGCCCACCACCTCACCTGCCCAGCTAATTGTTTGTAGTTTTCGTAGAGACGAGGTTTCACCATGTTAGCCAGGATGGTCTCGATCTCCTGACCTCGTGATCTGCCCACCTCAGCCTCCCAACGTGCTGGGATTACAGGTGTAAGCCACTGCGCCTGGCCTCCCTGAAGATATTTTTAAGCTTGTTTTTCTTTGTTTAAATAGAATAGTTAATCTTCTTCCCTCTTTTTCAGAGTTGACTTTAGTTGTTCAAGGGACTTTTTATTTTTTTCATATAAATTTAGACTAAGTTGATCAAGTTACTTAAGTTCACTGGAATTTTGATAGAAATTGCATTAAATATATAAGTTAACTTGAAGAGAAGTGACATCTTTAAAATATTAAACTATCCCACACAAGCGTATGAAATGTCTGTCTATTGGTCTGTGTCATTGTCTGCGTC